GTCTGTGCCGTAGCCCGCGGAGAGAGAGAGAGAGCGAGAGAGAGGTTGTGGGGAGCGCCTGGCTCGAGGACATCTGCGTGCCAGGCACAACTCTCAGCTCCGGTACAGCGCGGCTGCTCGAGAAGAGACCTCCAGATGGTCGAGCGCCCGGCCCGCATGCTCCTCCCTTGCTCCTCCTCACCCCTCGCTCCCTGCGCGCCCCGCAGGTCTTTATCATGGCGGACTCAACCAGCCGCGGCTCGATCGAGCTCGAGGAGCTCAAGAACCTCCATCACGTGCTCGGCGAGCCGCTGACCGAGTCGGAGGCAGCCTCCGCCTTCAAGGCGCCGCCAACTCAGCCAACAAGCACGAGAGACGCCAGCTCATTCGCAGAGCCCTACTCCACGGCCACGCCACACCCACACCGCCATGGGCGCCGGCATCTACGCCGGGGTGCTGGCACCTCCGGCAGCCGCGGGTAGGCGATGGACTCGACCAAGTCGGGGACCGTCAACTTTGAGGACTTCCTCGCCTGGTACACGCTTGCGCACTCGTCGTCTGGCACCGCCCTCCCACTCAGAGGCGGGAGGCGCTCGCCGCGTGGGAGCTGACGCCGCGGCGGCGTGCACGCCGTAGGCATGCTCTCCAAAAAGGGACAGGCGTACACCAACCGCTTCAAGAAGATGATGGGGCGGATCGGCGGCCAGTTCAAGCTCGAAAACATCACCGTCTCGGAGACCGGTTCTCGGCTGCCGCCCATCGCCCCCCGCCCCCTTCCTGCGGACGCCCCCTTCCTGCGCAGCGCATGGCCTAGCCGCTCCCGAGCCGCTCCCGAGCAGTGTCTGAGCCGGGCCCCTTGGCTGAACGCCGCGACACAGGCCAGTCGCGCTCGCTAGAGTACCGCGTGAACTTCTTCTACAACGACCACGGACACCTCAAGCAGATCTCGCCGTGGCACGACATTCCACTGTACGCCAACGACGGCGTCGCCCGATCAAGCGAAGGCTGATACATTGGTCGGGATCGCGTCCTCTAAAACGCCTGGCCTGCCGCCGGTAGGCGCCATCCATTTCATCACCGAGATCCCCAAGTTTTCGCGCGCAAAGTTCGAGATTGCCACGGGCGAAGTGCTCAACCCGATCAAGCGAGACGACACCAGCCAGTGAGGAGAGGCGGTGCGTGGGCCTGCCACTGACCTCGCGCGGCGCACGGCATAGGCAGGACGTCAAGAACGGCAAGCTGCGAGACTACAACTTCGGCGCGATATTCCCGCCCCTTTGCCCCTCCGGCGGACCCGTCCGCGATGCGTCTGCGACGCGTCCCTCGGTAGGTGACATGCTCTTCAACTACGGCGCGTTCCCTCAGACGTGGGAGGACCCGCAGGCGCCGAGCCATTGCCCCCGCCATGCCACCGCCACCGCCGTCGCCGCTGCCGTCACTTCCGCCGTCGGTTTCGCCGTTTCGCCCCCGCCGGGGCTCCGACCCCCGCCACAGCCGCCGACGCCCTCACTGCCACCGCCCTCTCAATCCCCGCACCGTAGCACACGACGCCCGACACGGGCCACATTGGTGACAACGACCCGATTGATGCCGTCGAGATCGGGACCAAGATTCTGAAGACGGGCTCCGTCACCAAGGTGGTCGCGGGACGAGCGGCGGGCTGCTTCCCAGCGCATACTCGAGGCGGTGTGTGCGCATAGGTCAAGATCCTCGGCTGCCTTGCGATGATTGACGACGGCGAGACGGACTGGAAGTGCATCGTGATCAATGTGGACGACATCCTCGCGCCGCGGCTCAATGACATCGACGACGTCGAGGCGGAGCTGCCCGGCTTTGTGTCGACGTTGCGCGAGTGGCTGCGCATGTACAAGACGGTCGACGGCAAGCCGCAAAACGAGTTTGGCCTCGACGAGAAGGCGGTGGGCCGCGAGTACACGCTCAAGGTGATTGCTGAGACGCACGAATTTTGGAAGCGGCTGACCGCCTCTGGCGCAAAGACGGTCTAGCCAGACCCTCGACAGTCCCCCCCCCCCTTGACCGGGCACTCGTACACGACCCCTCTCTCGCGGCCACCTGTTTTCGGCGGGCGGACGCGGGACGCACGCATTGCGATTGGCGCTGCGGCCGACGCAGATACGACTCTGTGTGAGCCGACGGTCTTCGCGGCGCCCAAGAGAGACGGGTCACGGTAGCCGTTGCCGTCGTGCCGGTACTGCGAGGCGCGGGAGATATCGAGTACGGTAGATCGAGAGGTCTTTGCTGCGGCAGCGAGCCGGGAGCGTAGATTCTTCTTTGATATTAATTGTTGAGATACGACGACTCGTTATTGTGTCTGTGCTCATTCCGCCGGCTCTCCTGCTGGCTGCTCCCCGCCTCACAGTCTCCCTCTCGCCGCACGCTGGTGGCCCGGGGGGCCCGGGGGCGGCGGCGCGGGCGGCGGCGCGGGGCCGCGGCAATGCGCGCAGCCACATTAGCACATATATGCGCAAATAAAGCCGAACACCGAACCGAACTGCCACAGGATGTGGTTGGCCCCACTGCCCCGCTGAGCGCTGAGGGTGTGGCGGCGTCCCCGGGCAGCGCGCGGCGAGGCTCGTAGAGGTCATGGGAGAGATCGGATATGGCGGCATGTTCCTCCTGTGCCTCAGAAGAGTTGCGGCCCGCGATGCCCGCGATCGCTGCGGGTGCGGCCGCCCCTGCCCTGGTCCTGACTCGTCGCCACTTCGCTTGCCAGCCCCGCGATCTCCCGCCGGAGCCTGCGGGCCTCTCTACGTAATCTCCAAATCCGGTGCATCCGCCCACCGCCCTTCACGCTCTCCAGCACGCACCACAGTGCTGCGACTGAGAGCAGAAGCGCATAAGGCGTCAGGTCCTGGACAACTGGCCGTGGCGGCGGCGCTACAGGGGGCGCAGCTGGCGCCAAGCTGGCCACGCCGCGGCTACTCCTGCTCAGATGCGCGCCGGCGGGCCCCGGGGGCGAGGGGAAGAGCGGGTACTTGGAGACGCACGTGTACTGCTGCGCTTTCGGGTCAGAGTCGCCCACGAGCTGTCCCGAATGGGTGATGTACCGGACGCATCGCGGCAAGCCCTTCTTGCGACACCCGTTGTAGATGTTGAGCGGCGACGCGGCCCAGGCGATAGCGATGCAACGCGGGTCCGTGTGGCAAAGCGCGGTGCACGCGTAGAGGGACTGACAGCCTTGTAGAGATTGCAAGGTGTTTGTGGCCGTCCGACCAGCTTCGCGGCAGTAGCCCTTGCCAACACGCCACGTGGGAGCAGTAGGGGGTAGCGATGGAGGCTCGGGTGGCGGTGCTGGCGGTGCTGGCGGTGCTGGTGGGCGCGACGGCGGCGACGGCGGCGACGGCGGCGACGGTGGCGACGGCGACGGTGGCGGAGGTGCGAGTGGCGGCCGCAACGGTGGGGGAGCGAGCGGCGGCGGTGGACGGGGCGGCGGCGGAGGTGTCTGCGGCGGCTCTGGTGGTGAAGGAGGTGGACTCGCTGGGGGCGGTGGCCGCGGGAAGGGCGGCGGCGGCGGTGGTGGAAGCGGCGAGGGCGGCGGTGGACGCGGATGGGTTGGCCGTGATGTGCTCCTAGGAACCGGGATGGGCCGGGTGCTGCCCTGATTAGCCTTCGATGGAGGCGTTTCGGTTGGATCTGGTATCATTGAGAGCAGTAAAGCCGCCGCTGGAGCCAGGAAGAGCGCGAGGGCGGCGGTGGCCATGACGCCCTTTTCGCGCAAACGTCGAGGACGTGCGCGCCCAAAGATCACAAGTTGAGATTCACGCACTCGATAGGGTCGATTCCGCGTGGTACGGGACCCCTCGATCGTCTCGCCCTCCCTCGCTGGTGTGTTCATTGGGTGGGGTCATAACAAACACGGTGCAGGATCGAGGTGCACGCTGCAGAAGCAGTGTCGCCCCCCCTCTCCATCGATCGTCTGTCTCACTGGGTGGGAGACGTCGGTCGGCGGTGGTGGCGGTGTGACCGATCGAGCTACAAGAGGAGCTTGTTCAGCAGGATCAGGGTGGGCGGAGCAGTACCTCACTTCCTCAATGGCGGTGAGCTTCAGAACTCCAGGCCAGCGCCACCACGCGTCCTCCCCTTCACCGGATTCCCATCACTGAGCCGACAATGCTACGGGTAGCCCCAGGGTGGCGCCCACCCATACCCTCGGGCACTTGCCTGCGCCCTCACGCGCTAGCCCACGCCCTGCCCCGCAAGATCTCACTCCATCCCGGCCTGCGGCATACCTCGGCACCCCTCTTGCACGGAATCTGAGCGTGAGGGAATCTGAGCGTGAGGGAATCTGAGCGTGAGGGAACCTGGGCAGTGCCGCGTAGTGCGGCGTGCGCGCGGGCGTGCGCGCACGTGCGCGGGCGTCGCGGGCGTGCGCGGGCGTGCGCGCACGTGCGCGCACGTGCGCGCACGTGCGCGCACGTGCGCGGGCGGGCGCGTAGTGCTGCGTAGTGCCGCGTAGTGCCACGTGCGCGCACGTGCGCGCACGTGCGCGCGCGCGTGCGCGGCGTGCGTGCGTGCGCGGGCGTGCGCGCGCGTGCGCGGCGTGCGCGGCCAGGGCGCAGGCAAGTGCCTAAGGGTATGGGGGTGGGCGCCACCCAGCCTGGGGCTACCCATAGCATCGTCGGCTCAGTGATGGGTATCCACCCATCGGCTCATGTGTGGATTCACAACCTTCTTGGAAGGTGCCTATATGGGCTTCCAGTATCGGACAGACATGCGCTTTTGGCCGGTGGCCCCCTCCTCGAACATGGTACCTCCGGTGAGATGAGTGGCTGCCAGTTCGAGAGATCGAGACTGGGGCCGATCGAACTTGAGTTGTTCGGAGGAGGAATCCGGCCAGCACGGGTACAAAGAGGGGTACCCGGAGAATCCCCAGCTGCGGAAATGTAGTGTCGCTCAAGAGGTGCGATACTGCGGGGGAGTGTAACGTAGTGTCGCTCAAGAGCCGTGCCGGAAACTGCGGGGAGTGTAAGGTGCCTATGGGCTTCCAGCGTATCGGACCTTCAAGACATGCGCTTTTGGCCGGTGGCCTCGGCCAGCAGCTCAGCACCCGGATCGGATAGCTTGCTGAAGTGGACAAGCGGGGCGGTGGCCGAGAAGCCGGTCGCGGAATCGCCCTCCTTAGAGAAGACAGCGATATCGACGCTTCCGAGGCGCCCGCAGCGGATGCGGTCCACCATGCGAAGCTGCCTCTCGTCCCACCGCTTGTCCGAGCTGCCAGCATGGTGCAACAGCTCCAAACGGCGAAGGCATGCACGGCGAAGCGACCGAATGCTGGCAACCAACTGGTCGTCGAACGCCATACTCGAGGCTAGGTGTGTGATGCTCTCTCTACGCGCAACTAGGAGCCGCTGCACGTCGGAAGGCAGCGCACCGGTTCCCGTCGTCTCGATCGCCTCGACGGTGGCGGCGATGTTGGAGGGCGATCCGTCGGACTCGAGCGCAGTAGCGAGCGAGTTGACGAGCGCCTTGGCGTTGGGGTCGAGCTGCGACACGGCGGCGAGGATCGCCTGGTCCGAGTCCTCCTCGAGCTCCGTCTTAGTGTTCGCGCCAGCGCTCCGGACGATGATATGCGGCGCCGAGGCTGCGGGCGCGACGCCATGCGGCTGAGCACTCGAGCTCTTCTTGGCCTGCTGGCACTTCATGATGAAGATGGCTGCCGTGCTGGCGTCCATTGGTGGGCCGCCGGCGAGCGCCGAGAGACCAGCCTCCGGAAGCGACGCCAGCCCGGAGGACATGAAGTCGCGAAGCATCTGCTTGAAGACCGCCTGATCGCCCTCGGCAACTCGCTGCTGCGCAGCATCGGTGCAGATAAACGGGATGGTCTTCTCCATGAACTCACCAAACTGCCCGCCGGCGTCGACGCGGCGGACGAGCGCTTCGTAGGGGGTAGCGGGCGCCGCAGGCGACGGCGCGCTCGCTTTGAAGGCCTGGCCGAACCGTCCGAGGAAGGCCGTCGCTTCGGCGAGGGTCAGCTGACCTTTTGCTGAGATCTCACCACGGAGAGACGTGTGGGCGGCCTCGCCGGCTGCCGCCTCCAGCGCCACTGCGAAGCTCTGAATCCGGACAGCCTCCGGCAGCATGGAAGCGCCGAGGGCCGGCATCTTGTCGCAAAGGCCTAGCACTTCGGCCGCCTCGACGTTACCAGCGGCCACTGACCCAGAGGCAGGCAGCTTGCGAAACATCTCGAGAGCAAACGGGGCTCCGAGAATCGAGACCGGCCTTGGCGCGGCAGGTCCGGCACCGCCCGTGTTGGGCGGGTCGGTCCGCGGCCGAGGAGCTGCGGCCGCCTGCTCGAAGGCAGTCTTCCAGTCCCTCCAACCCGGGTAGAATCGGGCAGTCTCACGAGCAGTGTACGTCTTTGTAGCATGCACGGACTGCTCAGCCTGCGTCGCGGCCGCGAGCTCGGCCGCCGAAGCGGTCAGGCCGAGCAGCCCTTTGATCAGCGGCTGCGCCAGCTGCTCTGCCAGATCCCTGCCAGTACCAGCATTCATGATCTTGACGGTGAATGAAGCGGCGCTTCCAGCAATCGACATCTGGGTACACACGACCATCTGACCTTGCGCGACCTCATCGTTGAGCGCTCGAGGAGCCGCAAGCACGAACCTGCTCAGAAGGTTGTTGAAATCGACCATGGCGACTGGCGACTGAAATCAGAACCCAGAGCAGAGAGCTGGGACGAAAGCGACGCACCTGCCAACGAGAAGTTGCGCCGACGTCCGTTCGTTACATCTCGCTGCACATGGGGAATATCACATACGGGGGCCAGAGGCAGGAGCTCGACTCGCCGCTATGAGCCCGGCCCCTCCCCTCAGCAGAGCAGGCGTGAAACCGTGCCGGATTTCACGCAACACACTTGGCCACCATGGTGCTGCGGGAGACGGTCTCGGTCGGCGAGAGCATCGCCATCGCAGTGGCAGCACTCGGCTCGGGCGTCGCCGTGGGCATGAGTGTCTCGGATGAGCCGACGCCGCACCTGATCACTCCTCTTGAAGCAACGATGCCCACCCCGTCCCGCCTCTACTTGAACGGATCTGACACACGTGATTGCCCATAGCTGCCGCTGCTTGTTGTCGCCGCCGCGACCGTCTTCCTCCTCGTCCGCAGCGCGCCGGCCGGTCGCGCTCACGGCTTGCCGCGCTGGAAGGGTTCTGGCAATGCGCGCGATGATTTTCTGGCAGTGTGCAGGGAGCTGACCGCGGAGCTTGTCGCCGAGGTGGAGACGTGCCAGCCGCCGCTCCCGAGTAGCGTGGCGTCGCACATTGCGCGGCTCGTCGAGTACAACGTACCCAAGGGGAAGCTCAACCGCGGCCTGACTGTCGTCGAGGCGATGGAGGTGCGTTGCCGCACCGCCACCTGCGCCGCCGCCGCCTGCGCCGCTTTTGCCACCGCTGCGCCGCCGCCTCCACACCGCCGCCACCGGCTCTGCGCCTGCCCGCCGTGCCGTAGGCCATCAAAGGTCACGCGGCGCCAGAGCAGCAGTGGCGTGCCGCCGCCCTCGGCTGGTGCATCGAGTGGTTGCAGGCCTACTTTTTGGTCGCGGACGACATTATGGACGCGTCCGAGACGCGGCGCGGCCAGGTCTGCTGGTACAAGGTGGAGGACATTGGCATGAACGCGATCAACGACGGCACCGACCCAGACAAAATTCGGCCCTTTCCCCCCGGACGCGCCGCAGGCGCCCGTAAAGTGCGCCGTAGGCATCCTGCTCGAGATGCACATCTACTCGATCCTGCGGCGCCACTTCCGCGAGGACCCGCTGTACGTGCCTCTGATGGAGCTCTTCCACGAGGTGACGCTGCAGACTGCGGTCGGTCAGCTCCTCGACCTCACCACCGCAGACCCGGACAAGGCGCGAGATCGGATGCGGCCAGAGCCGGGTCGTCCGAGATTCCCTGCGAGCTCAAAGCACCCTCCGCGCAGGTCGACTTTTCGCGCTTCTGCATGGCAACCTACACCAACATCGTCGTCTACAAGACTGCATTCTACACCTTCTACCTGCCGATCGCTTGCGCCATGCTCCTCTCGGGCTACCGTGACCCCGCCCTATTCGCAAAGGTGCGAGGGCCAGCCGAGAGCACGCCGCGATCGAGTCGATCGGCGACGACCCATGACGCTCGCCGCATGCATGCATCTCTCTGCCTCCGCCCCCCTCCACAGGCGCGCGAGATTTGCGTGCTCATGGGCGAGTACTTCCAGGCAACTCGCCTGTGTAGTCTTTGAGGCTCTCGCCACTCCCTGTACACCATCAGCGAAATCTGCACGCACACCGCAGGACTGCACCGCCCCCCCCTCGGAACACCAATCTAAAGGAACCCAAAGCTGGAACCCTAAACGATTGGCTGTAGGTGCAAGATGACTACCTCGATTGCTACGGCGACCCGGCAAAGATTGGCAAGGAGCGCCCCCAACACGCCATGGCCGCCTCTCTCGCGCCTCGGCATTGCCCACCGCCTTTCCTGCGCCACTTGGGGCTTCTCGCTAGCGTCCGTGGCGTCTCGCTGGAGCCCGCGCGCGCTGTGGTGTGGAGCGCTCGCTCGCCCCCCCCCCCCCCCCCCCCAAAGGTGGGCACCGACATCCGCGACAACAAGTGCTCATGGCTGATCAACACGTGCCTTGCGGTGGCGACGCCGGCGCAGAAGAAGGACCTCGAGGCCAACTATGCGCGCAACGACGCTCGTTGCGAGGCCAAGGTGCGCCAAATCTTTAGCGAGTGCGGCGTGAAGGAGGCCTTCCATGAGTACGAGGAGGCAACAGCGGCGCAGCTGCGTGCCCTCATCGCCGAGGTGCAGGGCATGCCCCCAACTATCTTCTCGACCCTCCTCTCACGCATCTACAAGCGACAGAAGTAAGAGGGAACGGGCGTTCTGTTGGGCGTCTGGACGCCCCCCCCCCGCACCAACCCGGCGCTACTGACGCGTCCCCGGTGTTCTCTGACTGTTTCTCGGCACGGGCCACGCCCACGGCCATGGCCCGCGGGTCCGGTTTTGGCCGGGAGCGGTATGGGGCGCGGCCCTGCGGGCGGAGACCGGAGATTCGGCGAGGGGGCGGGGGACTTTAGACCTGTCCAGTCCAAATATAAATATCCGCGCCGGCGGCGCAAACGCTCCACAGGGGCACACCGAGAGCCCATAGCGCACATTGCGTCATTGGGCGTCGCGACCCGGGCGCGTACTCGAGTACGTGTCACGAGTCAGCACAGATGCTGCGGCAGCTCAAACTCGCGGCCCGCGACCCGCTCTTCCAGACCCTCGCCCGCATAGGACACGAGGGGCGAGATTTCCAGCAGCGGGCGAGGGCGAGACCCATTGCCGCTATTGGCGGCGACGCATGGTCGCGGCGCCTTGACCGTCCCACCGGCTGCGACTAAGCGGTCAACGCACAGGCGAGAGAAAGCGGCGCACGCCGTGTCGGGGCTATCGCTCGCAGCGCCCGGCGCGTTCTTCACTGGCGCAAACTCGTGCTCGCGTGGCACCTGCGGCGAGAGCGAAGCGAGGGGTGGGCTGGACACGAGGGCAAATTGCTTCGTCGGAGCCCCTCTTGGTGGTGAGGGTAGAAGTGGGAAGAGATACCTGCAGCGCCACTAGCTTGGCGGCGTGCGGGAAAGTGTCAAAAATGAAGAGCTCAAGCTTGATGGCGTTTGGTTCCGACGGTTGCAGCGGCACGCTGCCTCCGCCCTTGTCTGGGTCGAGGCAGGGGACCTTCTTACGAGCAACGTGCCTATGGCGACGGTCGCTGCCCCACTCACCGCCGAGGGCACGCATCATATCGGGCGCGCGCGGCAAGAAGCGCACAGCGGCAGCGACGCGCTCCCCTCCTCGCCCAAGGCGCCGGCGGCGAAGGCGCGCAGAAACGGGAGGCTGAACCAGTTGACGCAGATGTGTGCGGCGCCGTAGAGCAGCCGCGTGCCCGAGCCGGACAGCGCCTGGGCGGGAAAACGGGAGGGAGAGGGGGTCGATGTTGTTCCGTCAGCAGAGAGATGTGCCGTCGACAGTGCTGCGTCGGGACGCCTCGCGAGTGGCCTCCGCCATCTCGGTGGAGATTTCGGAATACTCCACGACGTGGGGCTTGCCGCCCACCGAGGCCAGCACGCCAACCTTCTCGTGTGGGTCCGCCTGCATCAGAGGGGGGCTGCTCGTTGCGGCTGGCAACTGCGAAAGAAACTACTGTGCGGCAATTCGGCGGTTGCTTCGAGACGGGACAATCGTGGCTCGGGAGGGGCGACAGTCTGAGCACTGAGGGCGCCGCCTTGGCGATGGTCTTGACGCCGCAGTCGGCGCCACGCAGCGAGCAGAAGCCGACAAAGGTCGGGTCAGCAACATGGCAGAGCACGTTGTCGACGCCAAACTGGGGAGGGGGTGCGAGAGAGAGAGAGAGAGAGAGAGAGAGAGAGAGAGAGAGAGAGAGAGAGAGAGTCGGAGAGGAAACAAAGGGGGAGAACGCGCACAATACCAGATGGGGCGGGGTATGGATGGGGGGCCTGGAAGACGGACGTGACGCCGCGCCGGCTCATCTCCTCGAGCAGCCCCGCCTCTTGCAGGGAGAGGTAGACGCCGCCGTTGCCGTTTGGCGAGAGGGCGAGCTGCGAGGCGGATGAGCGCAGGATCCGCCCACGCTCGTCGAAGGCGGGCAGCATGCCCTGCGTGAAAAAGTGGAGCTGGTCGGGCGGCAGCCCGAAGCGGTCTCGCTCAGCGAAGAAGGCGCGCGTCTCGCCGTCGTTTGCCTCGCTCGTCATCACCAGCAGCGGGAGGTGCACCTCCTCGAGGCGCCGGCCCGAGTGCTGAGCCTAAGCCGCCCCGCCCCCACCCCCGTGAATGCACGCACAGCAGGCCGCTCACGCACGTGGACGGAGTTGAATGCGCGGCGGCCTCCCTCCTCCCCGCACCGCGCAAGAGGTGGCATCTATCGCTCCGCCGCAAGCCGCCGCGCACCGAGCAGCCGCTCGGCGTGGTACTGGAAGAGGGACTTGTGCGAGGGCATCCCGATATCGTAGCAGCCCTTGGGCGCGGCGGAGCCCAGCCGCGTGCCAGAGCCGCCGGCGAGAAGCAGCGCCGCCACCTTGCCCTCGGCAATCAGCCGAAGGCCCTCCGAGCGTGCCTCGGCGCCGCCAGCGGGCAGCTCTTCGACGCAGGTGATGTCCTCGAAAGGCGTGATGTCGCCAGCGGGCGGCTGCGCCGACGTCGACGACTCGAACATTCGGCGGAGCCGCGGCAGATCGAGGCCCCGCAGCTGCCTGAGGTAATCCTCCGCGGCGGCGGCTGGCGGAGGCGGGGAGAGAAGGTGCGCCTGCCCGTGCTCGGCGAGGCGCGCTCGCACCGCCGAAAACGGGTCGGCCGACGCCATCACGGTTCGCCGCAACCGACGCGTGGAGGGGCGGAGGAGACGCGTGGCGCCGACCTCGATTTCTGTGTTTCTGTGGCAGACCACAAGAGAAAGTAGAATTAGCTGCACCTTGTCTCGCTTTGGCGGTGGCTGCGCCAAAGAATTTTACGCAACACAACCACGGACCCAAGACGCACAAGCTCAGACAGTCGAGAAAGGGATAGACCGCAACGACAGTCAGAAGTCAGCGCTGGGTCCCAGGGCGAATGCGATGACGGCCTCTAGTGTGAGCTCTAGCTAGTGAGCTCATCGCTACTATATGCAGCGAGTTAGGAGCCGACCGACCGACCCTCGCGTCCGGTGCTCACCGACGGGGGCGGGCCACCCGCCCACGCGCCGCCTACGCGCAGCGCGTGCGCCGCAAACTCGCCCGCCGACAGCGGCGCCGGCCAGTCGCCATCGGCCGTCGCGAGAGGCCTGCCCGGCTGTCGCCGCGGGGCCCCCACGAACACCACGCGTCGGATGCGGTGCCGCGCGAACTCGCGCGCAAAGTGCACGCCCCACGCCCGCCGCAACGTCGTAGCGAAGTAGGACCGCGCCTCCTTCGCGCTACGCGCGCCGATCCGCCTCCAGTGCTGCTTGGATGCCGGATCCACCACACAGTCGAACAGCTGATGCAGGTCGTCCGACGCCTCCGCGTAGGCCCCGACAACGAGGCTGCGCACGGTGCCAAACGAGCGCAGCACGGAGGAAACGGCATCCCTGCCGTTGTTCCATGCCTGCACGTGCGGCTTGGCATCGAGCGCCGCCGCCCGCGCCTCGTAGTCGCGCTGGACAAGGATCAAGGTTCGCCCTGTCGGCGACAGCGCCGCCCTGGCCATCGTCGCGCGCCCGAGCGCTCATGTAGTGAGGCCCGCCGCGGTGGATGGTCTCGCCCTCGAGAAGGTGCTCCGCCGGCGGCTGCTCGGGCCCGCGCTGCACTGTCGTGCCGCGCCATAGGGTGGGCGACGGCTAGCGCATCACACACCTCTCCTTAAAATCCCTGTGTGGTGGCGGCGTGCCGTCCTCCCATCCCTCCCTTGGCGCTTGGGTTGTCTGTTTTCTTTCTTTCTTTTTGCAACAAAAATTCTGCTCGTGCAAGTTGCGGCATGTTTTCTTTCTTGTTGACCATCCCCCAGGGTTCCGGCTCCTAGCCAGATAGGGGGTCTGTTCCCCATGACTCGCACCAAAAAGCCCTACCTACCTACCTACCCCCAGGCCGCGCAGCGAAGCGAAAAAAGACGAAAATAGGGGGTACCTACCTGTTGCAGGGCCCTCTGGGGCGGTCAAAACCGGACCTACCTACCTATTGCATAGGGTGTAGGTAGGTAGGTAGAAAGGTGAAGAACAGCCAGGGTGTCCCGTAGACCCCCTATCTGGCTAGGAGCCGGAACCCAGCCATGTGCACGGCTCGCTTCGTGCTCGCACTCCAGGTGCTCTCCGCGTGCTGTGCGCACAGCGCCGCACTGCTGCTGCGTTCTTATCCTGTCGCGGCGGCCTCGTCCGTGCGCCGGCTGGTGGCGTCCCCGCAGCTCACCGCTGGCGACGGGGACGAGGAGCTCGATGCGGCGGACACCGTGTCTAGCTGGGACGAGGAGCTCGCCATGATGAAGGCGTGGGAGGCGGCGCGAAAGGTCGAGGCGGGAGGGCGGCCGGCGGCGGAGAGCGGCAGTGGCGTCGACGAGGACGCACACCTCGGCCTTGGCGAGGATTTTGACTCGGAGGACCCAGCGGCGGCTGCGCTGCGGCAGGCGGCGGAGAAGCAGGCGGCAGTGCTGCTCGCCGGCATCGAGGCGCAGTCGGCGGCACCGCCCACCGACAAGGCTGTGATGACCTCGCTCGAGGCCGTCATCAACGCCATCTCGCGGCTGAGCGACAAGGTTGACGCGCTCACGGCCAAGGTCGATCAGCTGCAGCAGGCGAGGCCTACCGCCGCCGACGCGTCGTCGGCCACCGAAGCGCCGCCGGCGGCGGCGCCGCCACCGCCGACCGCGGGTGCGGCAGACGACGCGCCCCCTGTTGCGGCGAGCGCCGCCGGCGGTGCCGCGGCGGCAGACACGTCGGCGCAGTGGGATGGGGAGGTGGACGAGACGGCGTGGTTTGATCAGGACGACGACGATGACGACATGCCGGACTGGCGCGACGTGAGGAGGCTCAACAAATTGTTGTAGCGATCTCCAAGGTCCAATAGCGTGTCAGAGTATACTTGCGCGCTCATCTCTTGAAAACGCGTCCAACGGAGCTCCGTGACCGCGGTGTGTGGCTCTCCCAGTGAACCCAGCGCCCTCCCCCGCGCTCCCTGCGGCCATGGCCGATGATCCTAGTATGGGAGATCATCTGGCTACCGCGACGGAGCGACCCACACGACTCGTGGGACGTACGGGGGAAGGACCCTGAGAGCTGAGTGCTTGCACAGGGGTTGTGCGCCACCGCCAGGCCCTCCTGCTCGGCTCCAGCGAGTAGACAAGTCTTGTCATCAACAGAGTAGAAGGACCTGACCTCGGGGCCGATGTGACCAAGCGCTGGTGGCGTGGTTTTACCTCACACCCATGGTCTCACAGTGTGCCGGCAGTCGCCGAGCACGAGTGTCGGCTGTCGCTCTCACACAAGCCCTTAGGGGACCCCTAGGGTTCTGAGGGCCGGATTTTTTTAAGAGCTTTTAAGAAATGAGGAGGTTTGGGGGCTTAAATTGCCATTTAAGAGATTGCAGGCACGGGGGGTCCCTCTTTTAAGTCTGTTTAAGAAAATCGGGGCCTCACCGGCACGCGTCGCTGGGTTCCGCGCCGGTTTCTCCAATACTGCCTTTATTAGGCACAAACCCGCCTCTGAAGACACATCTGTAAGTCTGGTGCACTGACAGGAGCCATACTCGCATAGGGGACGCGTGCTAGCTGACTGTAGCCAGCTTCCCGGCCTCCGGCGTCTACCGGGAGCCTCCGGGAGCCTCCCGGACCATCGACCTCGGGAGCTCTCCCGCACCGTTTAAGCGTTTAAGACCGTTTAAGGAATCGGCGGCCCAGCAGCTCTTAAAACCGGCCCGGGCCGGTTTTAAGCCGTTTAAGCCGCAGGCGCCCCAGGGCCCACCCTTTTAAGCCTAGGGGTCCCCTAAGCACAAGCCGCAGCACAAGTGACTGAGGGCCAAGTGAGGGCGAGCCCATCGCTGTCACAGCTGTGGCAGCCGCACAGTGGGCTGTGCCATATGTGCAGAGTGTGTGAGCAGCAGAGGAGCTTCACTCCAGGCTTCAGGCGCAAAGAGATGCATGCCACCGAAGGCGCTGTCGAGGTTCGCCGAGCGCGGCGCAGGTTTTTTGGGGGACACCGTCACCGACGAGCGCGTTGGAGTATTCACTCCGGACAAAGTCAAAGACGGCTACACGCACACGAGCGCGGCCGTGTCGCCGTCATAGCGGCGAGGCGCGGATAGCATATTGAGCAAAAAAGCCAAGAGAGGGTCTCAGCTCCCCGGCCCTGTGGATGTGAGGTCGTTACTGACTGCACTCCAAGTGCTCCAACCTCCAAGAGGGGTGGAAGGGCGGGAAAAGCCGAGCCGCCGAAAAAGCCACAAAAAGCCAGCGAGCCTCCCGTTACGCGATTGCTCGCGAAGCGCAGCATGGGAAAGCCGTAACGGCAACGGGGACAGAAACAGCGCACTGTGCGGCCACGGGCCAGCGGCAGCGCGCACAGCCACACGACAGGCCACAGGCACAGCGCGTCGGCGTCCGTCCCCGCGGCCCGGGGGGATGCAGCATGCAGCATCCTGGCAGGCGTCTTGGACATGGTAGACAGAGTGATACCGCGCGAAAGCCTCGCTCAGCCACAGAGTTTTACCTCTCGCGGAGAGCGAGACCCAGAGAGAAACAGAAGCGCACATCCAGAACCCCCCCCCCCCCCCCGGGCAGTCCACACTCGACACTGAACCGCTTCACCAGGTGCGCACACCCACAACGGTCCGGGCCTAGCGGCGCCGCGCGGTGTCAAACACGCGCGCGTTTCGCCGGCGGCAGCTTCTGCAGCTGCAGGCCGCGCTGCACCGCCGAGATCGTCTTGCCACCCCCCTCGTTCTCCTTGCCGGCGATCGCCTCGTCGACCGATGTGACTGGCAGCGCGAGTGCGGCGGAGAGCTGCTGCTGCAGGCGCACGGCGTCCTCGAGCGCTTTGTCCACCGCGAGCGCCGAGCCGCCCGCGCGATCGCGCGCCGCCTCGCACCGCGAGCGCTCCTCGAGTAGGCTGGGCGCCACGAGCGTCGCATCACCGATGCCTCCGCCGAGCAGCGCCTCGTCCGTTGCGTTGCCCAGCGCAAGCAACTGAGAGAGCTCGCTTGCCTGCCCCTCCTCCAGCCGCTGCACCGCCCACGCCGGCACCGCCCTCCGCTGCTCTCCCACCCGTGCACTTAGCGCCGCCGCCTGCGTGGACGGCCGGCAAGTAGTGAGGGCGAAATGGGGGTAGCTGCCGCTTCGCGGCCGCTCGCGTGCCTGCTCCTCGAGCTCCACCACACGCGCCTTGAGTGCCGCTTCCACGTCGCGCGAAGCCTCTACAGGACCAACGGGGCGGGGCGGGGCCGCTGGTCGCGCGCGACTCGCAGGCAGTGGGCGGGGCGGCGATGAGGCCTGGCGGCGCGCCTTGCTCGCGCTCGACCATGCGCTGCGCCACGCGGGCACAGAGCTCGTCCGCCGCCGACGCGGACGCGCCCGAGACGCTGGAGAGGAACGGGCGCAGCAGCAGTGGGCCGCTCATTCGACTTCAACCGGGCGTGAAAAAAATTCACCGGGATTTCTTTCTTTCTTCTTCACATTTTCCACCCAAGGAGCCCGTTTGGAGGGATGGGCGGCGATTTTCAGCGATTTTCAGCCGGAATATAAAGAATATTCGAGAATATAGGCCCTATTTGGAGCCATATTCTTGCCATATTCGAGAATATACACCCTATTTTGCGGTCTCTCTTTCGTCGTCGAACAACGTTCGACCATGGCACTGTTCACAGCGCGCGCGGGCGGCGGTTCTGCGACTCCCGCTCCGCAGGACTTTTGGGCAAGGCGTCCGGGAGGCACCTCCCGGACATCAAATGGGGCCGCCTGGTGGCCTCCGAGCGCCAGCCGAAGCAACCCTCGTCGTGCCCCGACACCCCCCCGACTCATGCTGTGCCGCTCTTGCCTGTGTGGCCGCTGACGGCGGGACCCCGTGCGCGGCTGCGCCGCAAACTCGTCACTGCCGTCGTCACACCTGTCCACAGATGCGACGGTGCCTGTCCGACCGCGACAAACAGGCCTCGTTGCGGATCGCCAGCCCGCCCTTTGCCTCCGCAGACGCCTAGCCGAATCGTCGTTACCTTCCGCAGACCGACTTCCGAGCGGGCGCGTTCTATAGATGACGGTCACGCCCAACTCACCAGCCCTTGTGGCCTGAAACCGATTCTGAGCCCTGCCTCCGCCGAGCGGGTATGGCCGCTGCCCGGCGGCCCGCGGCACGAGTCGGTCCCCTCCCGGTTCCCGCAGGTGAATTATTGCGATTTCGCCACCCTCCTCGCCGCCCTCTCCGCCACTGTCGCCTCCGCGCTCTCCTCCGCCGTCGCCGCCGCCCTCGCCTCCACCGCCCTCTCCGCCACCCTCCCCGCGGCATTCTCCACCGCCCTCTCCGCCGCTCTCTCCTCCGCCGTCGCCGCCGCCCTCGCCGCTGCCGTTGCCGCCGCACTCCTCCCCGCTGCCGCCAAGCATGATCGGCCTCACCCTCCCCGCCGCGCCGTCGGTCTCGCCGTCGCCGCCGCTCTCTCCGCCGCCGTCGCCGCCGCCCTCACCGCTGCCGTTGCCGCCGCACTCCTCCCCGCGCTGCCGCCGTCGGCCTCACCCTCCCCGCCGTGCCGTCGGTCTCGCCGTCGCCTTCTTCCGTGTCGCTGTCGCCGCTCCGCCGTCCGTGTCGCCGTCGCCGCCTCGGATCTGTCCGTGTCGCCTTCGCCGCCTCCGTCCGTGTCGCCGTCGCCGCTGCCTTCCTCCGTTTCGCCATCCCCGCCGCCGATCTCACCTTTGCCGCCTCAATCCATGTCGCCGTCGCCGTCGCCGCCGTCGGTCTCGCTTTCGCCGCCTCTGTCCTTCTCCTTGTCGCCGTCGCCGCCGCCGCCGTTGGAACCGCTCTCCCCGCCGCCGTCGGTCGTGTCTACTTCGCCGCCTCCGTCCGTGTCGCCGTCGCCGCCTCCGTCCGTGTCGCCGTCGCCGCTGCCTTCCTCCGTCTCGCCCTCCCCGCAGCAAGCTCGCTTGCCGTCGCCGTCGCCGCCATCGGTCTCGCTTTCGCCGCCTCCGTCCGTGTCGCCGTCGCCGCCTCCGCCGTCGGATTCGCCTTTGTCGCCTGCTCCGTCCGTGTCGCCCTCGCCGCCGTCACGATTTGGCATACACACAGTTTGCACATCTGCAAGTTCTTCTTGATCGTATTCAAGAAGAGATCTCTCGTATTACATTTACATCAATGAATTAAAAAAATAACGTAGCTGAGGCGGAGGCGGAGGAGGAGACGGGCCCAACCGCAGAGCTTGATGTACACGGCGGTGCAGCCCCCGGCAATTAGCGCGCAACTCAAGGCATCGACGCTCTCGCCGAAGCCCCTGTGCACCTCCCGGCACTTGCCGCCGTTTTATTCGGCGCAATGGCCGGCGTTGAAGCTCCGAACCCAGGCGCAGCCGAGCCCGTTTCTTTCAGAGACAACACCAACAACCTCTTTCACTCATTCTTAAAACAGTACCGGCCGGGATTTCGAAGATAGTGCTAAAATGGATACCTGGAGAATGGCATTTAATTTCGCGGACCGGCTCTTTGAGCACTTGAGCACTGGATAGGGTCGATTCCGCATGGTACGGGACCCCTCGATCGTCTCGCCCTCCCTCACTGGTGTGTTCATCGGGGGGGTCATAACAACAATCAGGTCATGTCACCGCTTAACGTGCATGTGCGTGGCCTACGTCAGAGACCAAGTGACCCGTCTACGCCCTCGCGCCTCGGGCGCGGCCGGCCGCCGCCGGCTGCCCCGTTGACTTCCCCGCCGCGCGCCGCGCTACGCGTTCGTTCGCAGTAATCTGGCTTAGTTCAGAGAGGTCGGGTCGTCTCTATGCGTATCACAGCGCGGCGCTGGCCTGCGCATGGCGGGCATGTAGTCGAATCAATCAATCATCCCGACATTTGATGTTAGTGGCAAAACCGCGGAACCGAAAATGGCGTTTAATTTTGCGCAAAATTGTCCGCCGCCTGCTGTCCGCCGCCTGCGGCGGCGCTGCGCGCCGCCTACGGCTACGCGCGCGCGCTGCGCGCGCGTTTTTTCTCTCCTTTTCTGTCTTTTTCACAGTGCAATTTTACCGAAAAAATGCCACTTTTGTAAAGCATGCTTGTGGCAAGTTATGGACGCTAGTATCGACCTCAGAGACCCAAACACGAATTAATAATTAAGGCTCAAACTATGGTCGAACAAATCGTCGAAGCAACAGACAGGTCGAACAACGAAAAGAGACTAGTGCGACCGCTAGACGGCGGTCTCCGCCGGCCCCAAGGCTACCCAGCCCCAGTAGCACACCGGCCACGTGCACCGTAGCGCTGGAGTAGGTCAGTGAGGCCCTAGACGGGCTACGGAACCATGCGCGCGCCGGCCGGACAGGCTGCGCGCAGGGGCCGCGCCGCCTCGATTTTGCACCTCCGCTCCGCGGCCGGCTGAGGGGCCAGCTCGCCCGGCGACAAGCCCAGACATCACCCAGCGCCCCGTATCGACGGGGGGCACGCAAAAACACCGCACCTACGACTAGGGTGAGCACGTGAGGGCGTCGGTGTGGGCCGCGGGCGGGCTGCCAGGAGGGCGCGGGTGGGAGCATGGGAGATGCACCACCGCTCGACGAGGACGCGCCCGACGAAGCCCTGCTAGCGGAGGCTGGTCGATCCTCACCTAATAGCGTCGGGCGTGTGCAAAAAAGAGCGTAAATCGGAGCTCAACTCGCGCGCGGCTGGGATAGGGGTGTGGCACTTCTCCGAACCTTCCGGCGGCTTTGGCCTCTTGAGCCGTGGCGGTCCAGCGTGGCACACGGCCGCTATGTGTCACGGCAGGTGTCGCTGCGGCCTTGCGCTGGCGCTTTAGGGAGGAAGATGGCTCCTTCTCCGCCCGCAGCAGCCGCGCATGCTGCTGCTTTCGATCGCCCCACTGGTCCCGCCGGCTGCTCCCGCTGTCGCCGCTGTCGGGGAGCCGGCGTTCGGTCCATTTGGCGAGCCCAGCGATTCTGCTCGGCATGCCATTTTTTGTCGGTCTCGTAGTTGAGAGAGAGATTTTTGAAAACCAACAAGAAATCACGACTCTCACAGTGATTTGGGCTCGGCAGCTTGTCAGCCCTCAGCCGTAGTTGACCGAGTGGGGGGGAGGTCCCGCCTCCACGGCTGCTCGAATCTCGTCCGGGTTCAGCCGTCGCTTGGCCATTCCCCATTCGGCGGAGCTGGTCGGGTGCAAACGACCGAATCCGTGGGACGGTCGGAAACGGGTGGCGGTGGGACTTATAGGGAATAGGGTTAAGCTAGGCACCACGGCAAGCGGGAAAATTGTTTCTTCGCACGACTCCACTGGGCACGGGACTGGCACACTGGGCACGGGACTGCGAAAAAAGAAAGAAAACACGCAAGGCCAAGGGACTGCGGCCGTCCCGTGCCCCAAGTAAAATTCTTTCTTCGCATGACACTGGGCACGGGACTGGCACACTGGGCACGGGACGGCATTTGGAGCACTTGGAGCACTTGGAGTGCAGTCATCAACCTCACATCCAGGCAGGGCCAGGGAGCTAAGAAGCGCACCCAGCGAGCCGGATGATCGGCATCGGGCTACGGGCTAGAGAGCCCTGACCCCTAGCTAGGGGGGGTGCGCATTTCGCAGGGAAAGGGCCGTAAAATAAACACGGGTCTCCGAGGGCAGTCTGAAATTCTTTCTTCACCTGTGTCGAGCCTGTCTGCTGTGAGCGAGCGAGCAGCCGAGCGCCCCGTGAGCGGTGAGGCGGCCGGGCGAGGGCGCGGCGGGTGACGGGTCAAGGGAGCAGCCCACACCCGGCGTCGCTTTTTGAGCGACGCCTGCGGCACGCCTGCGCAGGGGCCGCAGGGCGGTCAGTTGTGGGGCGAGGCGGTGCGGCCGCGGGCCGGGCGGAAAAAAAAGTATTCTTTCTTCGCACCTCCTTCGGGTGGTTGCGATTGACCTCGCTCGTTCCGCGTATGATGGAGGACGCTCTGAGCGATCTGCTCGCTGGCCTTGGCCTCTCTCGCTACGCGCCCATCTTCGAGGAGGAGGCGATCACCGAGGTGGCGCTGCTCAAAAGCATCGGGAGCACAACTTTTGTGTCGTCAATGGCAGAGCTGAGCATGGACGAGTACGCGGCCGAGGCTCTGCGCGCCGAGCTGTTTGGCGCCGAGGCGCCACGGTCGGCGCCGTCGGTCCGACCCGGTCTCCTCGGCGAGGAGTCTGACGACGAGCTCGCCCTCGAGGAGAACGAGGAGGGCGGAGGTGACGACGACCACGACAACCTAGTCCTCGAGGAGAACGAGCCTCCGCCACGACCGCCGGATATGACGACCACCGCTGCGGCCACTGCCGCCGCCGCACCCGCGGCAGCGATCGCCGATCCTCCGCCGACGCGGACTGCGCCTTCCGGCGGTGCGACCGGCGTGGCGGCAGCCGTCGGTGCGGCGGCTCAGGCGCGCCGCCACAAGGAGGAGGGCAACGCGGCGCTGCAGGCGGGCAAGCACGCCGAGGCTGCAAGGCTGTACGGCAAGGCGATCGGGTGCGACCCGACCGACCCGGTCTACCACTCCAACCGCTCCGCCGCCTTTGCAGCGCTACACCGCTTCGCAGCCGCGCTCGCCGACGCCGACGAGGCGGCGCGGCTGCGGCCAGGGTGGGCCAAGGCGCACGTGCGGCGTGGGGCCGCTCTGATGGCGCTGGGTCGGCTGGAGGAGGCGCAGCGGGCGTACGGGCGGGCAGCCGCGCTTGAGCCGGGCAACGCGCAGCTGCGGCAGCTCGCCTCCGAGGCGGAGGAGGCGGCGACGGCGGTGAGGGGCGGCGAGGGCGGCGAGGGCGAGGGCAGCAACTGGGTGTCGGTGCTGAAGGAGGAGGTGCGGTACCGCACTTACATCGAGCTGGCGGACGACGACGACGAGGCGGAGGCGCTCGCCGCGTATGCGCGCGACCTGAGCTCGGCGCGCACTCCCGCTGTAGGATCCCCCCCCCCCCCCCTCGGCACATACACAAACACACTGCCGAGACTTAAAGACACGCGGAGATGCCACGAGGTTCGCTGCCTTGACGTCTCTAGACTTCACGGCCGACCACATGCGAGACGGCACCAAAGCACGGCCCTGACATTGTCTCGCTCTCGCGCCGGTAGGCGCTTGACGAGTTGCGCGAAGGCGGCGCGCGCCTCGCCCTCCGCACTGGCGCGCGCTCGAAAGAGTAGGGGGGGGGGGAGGGGAGATGCAGCCAGTCCGATAGCGCGATTGCGCGCGGCGGTGAGCGTGGCCTCACGCTCTTCTTGGCCTTGCACAAGGCGCGCGCGGCGCGGCGGTGGACGTGACGGGCGTCTCGGCTGCGACAGCGGCGGGCCTAACGGTCGACGGCCCGAGATGCGGAACACATGCACGGACCCTGGCCGACACTGATGATGCATGTCTACACCGGGGTTGCGTACGGCACGCTTCACCTCGCCAGCCCCTCTCTCTTCATCGCATAGGTCGAGGGCACTCTGCGCAAGAGCGGGAGGCCCGTGTCTGTGCGGCTGAGGCACCGGATCCTAGATGAGCAGCAGAAGCCGAGCAAACGGTGTTGCGCACGCACCTCACCGCGTTGATTCACACATCGCAAGAAGTCACGCGTTATTGCGGGTATGTCGATTCGACCGGCGTGTGTGCTCACCTCGTACGGGTCTATTGATCTGTTCACACGTAGGCACCTCACGAGCTACTACGACGCCGAAGAGCACGAGGGCACGGCCGAGCAGGTCACGGCCCGTCGGCGCTCAGCTCGATTGATACTCCGCGACGCGTCCGCGACGCATGGGCTGTAGGACGCGCTCATCCGCTCCGAAATGGCGTCGGCCGCGGCAGAGGAGCGGCTGCGGCTGCAGCGGCTGAGCGGCGCCGCCGGCTGGTGCCAGTTGGTCAGGGAGTTGGGGAGCGAGGTGGAGGCGGCCGTGGGGGTAGGGTGCGAGCTCACGCGATACCCGGCGGTCTACGTCGACAAGATCGAGGTGCACCCTTTCTTTCCCGCTCCTGCCTCCGCTCCCCCCCCCCCCCCCCCCTTCGACCTATCCCAATAGCAGCCTCGTCCCAATCTCGCCTGCAGCGGCTAGAGCACGAGATGAGCATGATCAAGGCCGTGGCAACCAGCTGTCTCCTCGCTATGCGCGGCGCTGCGGCGGTCGGCCTCGGGTTCGACGGCACCGCGCCGTTTGCCGAGCATGTCTGGGTGCAAGGCCCGCCGGAGGGGGCGCGTCGCGCCGCCGACTGGTCCGTCGTCGTGGGAGAGGTGACGGAGAGAGCGCGCGAGATTGGGGTGGGGTTGGAACCGGTCGTGGGCGGCGCCCAATGAGGCGAGACGAACCAGGATCGAGCGCTGCACGCCAGTCTCCCAGCTCGCGCCCACTGCCACCTCAGCTTGGCCGGCGCCTCCACGAAGCCCTCACCCTTCCTGCCTGGGATGACGCTTGGTTCAGGAGCCTCCTCACGCGTGGGATGTGAGCAGGTTGAGCCGCTCGAGGAGCGGGACCCGTCGGAGCGCTTCAGCGCGAAAGACCTCGTCCGCTCGGCGTTGGGTGAGATTCGCTGAGATTGGCTCAGATATGGGGGGATAGAGACGAGTCCGCTCGCTATTGGGGGGGCGGCGGCGGCGACCAATTTTTGGCGGCACTACCGTAGCGACTTCGGCGGTGCTTTGGCGCGCTGTAGGCGAGTGGTTGCGCGAGTGGTGGCGCTCGACGGCGCCCAAGCTGAGCATCGTCGACGGGCGCACTCCGCATGAGGGTCGCGTTGGCGCCCCGCTGCGTGGGTGCTGCAGAGGAGTTTTGGCCGAACCCTGCTGACGCCGTCCCTGTAGGCTACGCGCGCGTGCTCGGGCGGTATGGCGTGCTCAATTGGCTGCTGTTTGGTTGGGCCTAGATGCTCCAGTCAATCTCCTGTATCGAATTAGCACAAGGACACGGACGCATTCTGCAGCATTCGTTCACGTTGCAGCCGCTATATTTCGTAGCCTTCGTCTTCTCGCACGAGGCGGCGAGTGCTACTGAGTTTTCACGATGCTCTAACACTCCAGGCTGGGCGGACGAGCAGCTCGACGGCGAGTCTATCCTGCAGCTTGTACAACACGGGCCGGTGCGCAGAGAGCCTTGCCGTCATTTGGAACCACCCCATGAACGAGCTGATCCAGCGCGTTCGTCCCGGAGAGCCCCGCTTCGCCTCTCTAACACCATCTCTGTGAGACAAGGTGAGCGAACGGTCCGCTGAAGAGCGCGAGGCGGCGCAGCGCCGCTGGGCCGCCTTCACACAGGAGGCGTTTGTGCGTCTTGGCCCGCGCCGTTTCGACGAGATGAATGCGCAGATCGGCCAGATGAACGACGGCGAGATCTCGGTCGACGATTTGCTTGCCCGGGCGCGCTATTTCATGTGCCCTGACAATGAGGATTTGCACGCGGCCCTCGGCCAGATGATCCGTGGCTAGAGCAGGTGGAAACAGCGGTTGGGCCGCCATCTTCACCCCCCCCACACTGGTGTGGGGCCCCAACGCACGGAGGGGGGACGGGACGCGAGCAGGCGCGCGTACTTCCTCGTGTCGGTGTGGCCGTGTGGGAGCGATAGGCTAAGGGATAGGTTTTGGCCTTCTGCCAATTGGTATTGGCCTTCTGCCATATGGTACGGATTTCGCCGGAGATGGTTATACCCCCCCCCCCATCTTCTGGTTCTGCATTCTCACGATACGGTATTAAATCCCTATCATTGAAAGTAGCAGCCCAAAATCGCGGCACGGTACTTCGATTTGGTCGATTTGGCGGCCTTCCCCCCGACCGCGCCCCGGCCCCTGCCTCCCGGGGGCCCAACCCGAAGCGCCCGGCCGCTCGGCGGCGCCGTTCGGCCGACGGGGCCAGCCGTGCGGCGCCCGGTCGCCCGCCGCAGGACCGAGCCCGACCGGCCCACGCGCACGGCCTGGCCTCGACCGCCACTCTCTGCGGCGGAATCGGCACCGTCGGCGCCCTCTGGATCCTCCTGGCACTTCTCGGCTTCCTCCCGACGGTCGGCGGCACCAACCCCGTGCGCTTTGAGTCACACTCGATCCTCGGCATGCGCATTCTGAGCCGCTCCGACTTCCCCTCAGACGGACAGTACCTTGCGTATCAGCGGGACACGTACACCAGAGTGACCGGCCGGGATCTGGATCTGCAGCTCGAGGGACGCACGACTTCGACGTCTCTCTTCAAAACCATGCAAGAGACCCTCGACCTCGCCCGTACCAACCTCGCGAGCGGCGTCACGGCGGACGAGTTGAAGCTGAAAGAAGACCTGCATGGATGGAACAACCTGAACGAGGTGTACCGCGCTGCCAAATATGAGAGCATCTATGGAACGGCCTTGGAGGATGATGTCGGCCGTGCTTACGATGCGGGCTTGGAAAGGGCGATACAAAACGGTACAAAAGTCAAGCTGCGGAGCAAGTACCGCGAGCATCTGCGCAACATGCGAAAAAAGATAGAGCCAGCAAAGATGGCGGACCGTAAGAAGAAGCAGGCGGAGGCGAAGCAACAAGAAGAGCAGCAGCGCGCTCGCCCCGGCCGGCGCGCTCAAGAAGTCATGAATGGCACTCTCCCTGTCGAGCCGAGTGACGTCGGCAGGCACGCTCGCGCTCACACAAAACACCCTCGCACCCTTCCCAGGAGACTTCACCATTCTCCGTTCTTGACGCCCGCAGGCTCGATCTCGCGCCTGAAGAGGCCAAACCCGCCACCACCTGCTCCGCTTGCGACGCACAGCTCTTTCCCGACGAGGTCACATCGACCAATCCCACGCTCGGCTCGCACTGCTGCAGACAGACAGGGCAAGGTTGTGCTCGACGTCGTCAAAGTTCCAGATCCGGCTCTGACAAAGCTTTGGCACGCGACCTCTGCGATTGGCAACACGCTCCGCAAGTTTGCTCGGCCGATCAACAACGCCTTCGCTATGGCCAGTCAAGTCGTTCACAGCCTTCACATGCCAAAACTCGCGCCCGGCCGCAATGGGTGGAATCCGTCGCTCGTTATCCAAGGAAAGCTCCATCACTTCATGGGCCCGTTGTTTCCTGCTGAAGGCAAGCCAACGGCCTTCGCCCAGACGTACATGCACGACCCGTCCATGGCGAACACGACCGCCCTCGATTTGCGTATGGGTCGCATCTACCTGCCGGCCAATGCGACCGCGGGCGAAAAGGAGCGAGTACGCGAGCTACTCGACGTGTTCGGGAAGGCAATTTGCGAGCACAATCCGTACGTAAAAGACTTCATGACGGTACGCGTCGATCTTCGGCGGGCTGAACAGGAAAACCGTCGCTAACCGCACGCCACATGCACTTTTTGTAGGCGAGCCAGCTTGCGAGCAAAGACGACAGCGTCGCGAAGATTGTCATCAACGCCGACGCACGGCCGCCACCGTCAGACGGCGACGGCCCGGCTTCATCTCACGCGAGGCGGTACAACCCACCGAATGCGTACGAGGAGATCTCTGTGCTCATGCCCGACGCTGAGGTTGGCGGGCGAGACGAATCGCTCCTTTGACCCGCTGCATTTCGTGCTGCTGTTTCCGGGCGGCGATGACGGCTGGAAAATAAACATGGAGAAGCAGGGCACGAAGCAGAGCGTGACTCCGTGCGATTACTACGCCTATCGGATGCAATGGCGCGTCAACGACGACGGCGGCAACGCGCTGCTCATGTCGCAACGTCTGTTCCAGGCGACCGTCGCCGAGGAGGGGGGACGGGGGAGAGGCGTCCCCTCCCCCGCGCGACGTCACTGCCCGTTCTCCCCTTAGGAATACGCTTGCAGCGCCTTCGCCAAGGCCGAGCACTGCAGGCTTCAGTGGCAGCGACACAACCAAACGGCCATCCGTGCCGCCATGTACCAGGGCCTGTGCGATCACGTCGCGGCGGGCGACGCTGGGAAGCCGATCGGCAAGCGGATCGTCCTGTCGAACAGCTTTGTTGGAGGGAATCGAGACATGGCAAAACGATACCAGGATGCGATGGCATGCGTGCGGCATCGCGGCAAGCCGTCTTTTTTCATCACATTCACGTGCAACCCGAAGTGGAGCGAGATTGTCGACTCGCTACCCGCCGGTGTGTCCGCCACAGATCGTCCAGATATCGTCTCTCGAGTCTTTCGCCTTAAGCTCAACCAGATGCTCTACGACATAAAAAAGGGGGACGCCTTCGGGAGAGCAGTCGCTCATCTTGCAGTGGTCGAGTTCCAAAAGCGGGGCCTCCCTCATGCTCACATTTTGGTCATTCTTGCTGAGTGCGACCGTATCAAATCTGGCCCGCGGGACGATGTGTGAGTCCGATGTAGATCGATGTAGAGCGCGATTTTGCTGTAGAGTTTGTTGTAGAGGCTCTATCGCTCTACCGACAGCCAAACCGCCGGGAAGGTAGTGACTCAAAGAGGTCGAGCCGCACTACTATCGCTACGCCGAGCCGAGCTGACGCGCCGAGGCGCCGGCCAGTCGCAGCCGTGAGGCATGCCACAGCAACAGAGGCACCTGCCACCCATTGGGCGGGCAGAGAGAAGGCCGGGCAGCACTGGCAAGTGCAACGCGCCTCATGTCGGAGAGCGACCGTGCCTCGTTCGCCGCTTATGATGTAGAGTTTGTTGTAGAGATTTCACGTTGTAGAGTGCCCCTCTACATCGCTCTACAGGCGACTCACATCGTCCCGCGCCGGATGTAGAGCTCTACAGCTCTACAGCGCTCCAGAGCGCTCTACATCTCTACAGCTTCTACAGCGCTCTACATACACTCTATCTACATCCTCTACACCCTCCCTCAGAGTTGGAGGTGCTCCGGCCTGCCTGGCCTGATTGCGCAGCTCGCCGCCGTTGTCACTCAACACGTGCGTCATGCGTGGTGCCATCTGTGCAGAGCGTGTGAGCAGCAGAGGAGCTGCTCTCCAGGCTTCAGGCGCAAAGAGATGCATGCCCAGCGAAACGCAGGGGCGCCCCCCCCGACCGAGCTGCGAAACAACGGCGTCCACACCGCTTGCCGCTCGAGAAGCCCCAAAATTTTCTTCGGCGCTGCTCCATTCTGGCAACTCTCGAGTTTCCCTGAGCTCAGCCTCCACCCACACTACATTAGGTGCTCTCACCTCAACACCTTGGGTGCAGTCCCTCTGACCCCTACCCCCGGTGCCGGTGTGGGCGCTGGCCGGCACACTTAGGTAGAGGTACAGTAAGGTACAGATATGGGCCACTTACCTAAGGTGGAGGTATAGGACACCGCGCGCTACCTCGGTAAAGGTACGGGTGAGGTATGTGGGCGCCTCGCCGGACACACGCTCGCTCCCTCTTGACGGCCCCGCCCGACATGCTACTAAGTCATAGCAGCATATGGCGTGTTCTGGGGAACACCGGCGCGTTGGAGCAGCGACATGTCGACGTCACGGAGAGCGGGTCGGCGGAGGGTGGGTCGGCGGCCTGGCCGAGTCCGAGAGGATGGCGCAGCCGAAGCGGCAGCGTCGGAGCTCGATGGGGGTCCGGCGAGTTGGAGGACGGTGCAGCCGAGGGGGCGGAGACGTTGCCGTACTTCACCGTGAACTCGACGGCCGTGCCCGCGTACGACGCGTTCTGCTCCGCGCCGGTGAGGTGCGGGGAGAGCGCTTGCCCGTAGTCCCATGTTGACGACACCAGTAGACAGCTCCGTGCCGAGCATTGATGTACAGAGGGCCTGGTAGATGACTGGACCAAAGCACTGCACACCGGAACCAAACACTGCATGCACTTGCTCGCTTCCGGCCCCGCTGTGCTCTTGGAATGCAGCGTTGCACGCCACGGCACAGCCAGGTGCGGCAAACGCTGGATGCTCGGTCATCATCGCCTCCGTGCTTGTCCCTGCCTGCAGCCATACTGCGTCAGTTAGCGGGTAGAAGAAATTGGCAAAGCGTGCGAAAGCTCCGCGAAGCGTTCATTCACAGCCTTGTTATTGAGAAGAAAATACGTTATGGCGCTGTGCGCTGGTCTGTGAGAGGTTGAGGTGCGAGCCCTGGAGGCCCTGGGGATGGGGGGAGACTACCCGCGGGCCTAGAAGGCCCGCGCGCAGGGGGGTGGGGCATTGAGACCGGTCATGAATGAGTGCGCGACACGCATGTTGCGAGCAAGCAGCGTTGTTGATGTTCTGCGCGTCGCCACAGACGGCGGCGCGCGAGAGCTGTTGCGAGTGGTGCTGGACGAAGCCCCGGGCGATGCCGGAGGCTGTGCCGTAGTCGGTGCGGTCGACGGCGCTCGGGCTGCCAACCTCTTTGGCGAAATTGAAGATGATTCTCTTGGTTGGCGGCGCGATGCCGCCCTGGCTTTCGACGAGATTCACATCTGTCTGAAGCGCCGCAAAACATGATAGCTGGGCTCGTCAGTCCTCCTGTCGAGGCGCCCCGGCAAGAGTCCGACAACGACAGCTTGCCGGGTCAGGGCTACACGTCCAGCCACGCATCGATAGCCTCCAACAACGCCTCCCCGGCGCAGAGGGGCCCCCGGAGGGATGCTCAACCGCCCCACCCACGCCGCTTGCCGCGCGGCCACTTCTTATTGTGGCTCAGCGTCCTTATCGAGTGCGCACACACACGGCATGCAGCGGAACTTCGAGGTTCCCAGCCTCCAGCTGCCCGGCCTGAGCGAGCTGCCCTTTCCCGGCCTCTCCGACTTCGCCGCTCAAAGCGCGGCGACCAGCGGTGGCCGCGCTGACGATGCGCCTCCATCACCGCCAGACGACCTGGCCGAGCTGGATGGCTTTGGCACCTGCGACGTGGTGGGTCCGCTCGCCGCCGTCAACCTGGTGGCAGTGGGCCTGCTCATGTGCCTCATGGTGCGGCGGCCAATCGCCCGCACGGCGGAGTTCTCCCTGCTCGTCGGTGCGCAGCTCGTTGGAGCGCTCGTGCAAGCAGACTACCTCTACATCTGGCTGGCGAGCGGCGGCGTGACCGAGGCGTACGCCCGCGCGCACCCGATGGAGGAGTGGTTGCGCCTGTTCTCGGGCCTCGGCGTCACTCTCTATTTCCTGGCCATGTCGATCCAGCTCCTGCGCACCGTGCGATCGCCCTTCCAGGCGCGGCAGCCGCGACGCTGCGCCGCAGTCTCCCGCCCCACATCCCCCACGTTGCGAGCGCTGCCACCCTCTCGCAGGTCGGCAGTAACGCCGCCTACCACATCCTCGCCTGCAGCGTCGCCGCCGGCTTCGCTGCTCTCGCCGTCCAGTTTGAACTGAGCGATGAGGCGCTGCTCGATGTGCCGCCCGGCGACGCTGCTCGCTGGGCCCTCACGATCGTCCGCTCTGCCTTGTACATTCTCGCGCTCGCCACCCTGCTCTATGCGTGGAGGCTCATCCTCCGCGGCGTGCAGGCTAGAGTCGCCCAGTTGGCCCGAGACATCCCACCCGAGGCAGCTCCGCGGTGCCCGCGGCGGGCGCACCTCCCTCTTCCGCGTGCGAGCGAGAGTGTGGGCCGATGTCCTTCTGTCGCGCAGAGCCCGTGAAGCCGCGAACCCCCCCTCCCCCCCTCCCACACCGCCCCTCCCCACCACCACCACCACACACCAACCCTCTCCGTGGCAGGCTGCTGACGCGGCTTACACTCAGAAGCGACGCATCCTGACCGTTGCGCTCGCCACAATACTCCTCATCGAGGCCGTCTTTGGCATCTTCCCGCCGCTGGTGCCATCGCCGCCGCCGCTGAGTGGAAGGCACGGGGATTGTTCGCGAGGAGCGCCGCACGGATGCTGCTGTAGGTGCCGTTGGTGCTCATCGATGGCTTTCACCTCGACGGCCACTCGGTGGACCCCTCGACACGCCCCAGACGCTCCATCGCCGCTCTCACTGCCGTTTCCTCCTCAACACCACACTCCTCCTTACCACGCCGTCTCGCCCCTGCGCCACAGGCCGCGTGCACCGCCACGATCCTCCTTGGGCTGCAAGACGCCGTGCTCGCCGCCTCGTGGCTGCTGGTGCCTCCCTTGCTCCCCCGCTCCCCCCTCGCCCCCCCTCCCGTCTTACTCGCCGTCTCCCCCTCCCAGCTCCCTTCTCACCGTCCACCTGCATCTGCTCCCCTCCCAGGTGCTGCAGTACTCTGCGCACAAGCTGCGCGAGGCGGCGCAGGGCGATCGGCGGAGCATCTCCCTCGAGACCAAGGGCAGCTTCGAGCCTGAGGGCGCGGGGGACCTCTCCGCCGCGCTGCGGAAGCAGCTGGTCTCGCTTATCACGGAGGGCGCATGCCGCTCAGCATGGGAGGCGGGGCGCGAGAAATGGGTTTCGGCTGGTGGCCGCTCCGCGCCGCATGACGCCCGGACGGTTCTTTCCTAGGTGGAGCGCGAGTCGGAGGAGGGGCTCGTGTCGAGTCTCACGCCGCCAGAGTGCACGACAGAGCAGGCACGCGTCTAGCGAGCGTCCAGCGAGCGTCCAGCGTCCAGGGAGAGGACAGGCACACAGGCACACACACACAGGCACACACACACACGCGCGCGCGCGGCGCGCGCGCGCACAGAGAGGCGGAAGGGGGGGGGGGGGCGTCATGCCCACCACACGACAGCCACACCGACCACAAGCGCACGGCGCCCACCATCCTTCACGCTA